TTAAAAAAAAAAAAGAGCATGGAGAGCAGGCCAAGGTCTTCAGAGAGGCCCTCAATTATTCCTGCCTTCGGAACCCAGCCCCAAGTCGGGGGGTGGGGGGGGGAGTCTCCTCCTCCTAGCCACCTCCGGAGGCAGGGCACACCCTGTGCCTCTCCCCCACGGCCCCTGCACCCCTGGCAAGAGGCTCTAACCCCTGGCAAACAGAGCAGCCAAAGCAGAGGGTCAGCTCCGGCGGGACAGGGGGCACAAGCAATGACTGTGCAGGACGAGGGCTGGAGCACCAGACGCGGAGTCAGGAGGCTTGGGTTGCGGCTGCCGCTCTGCCGCTCATTAAGCACACGGCCTCACAACAACCATCTAATTCCTCCACATCTACCAAGAAAGGACTTGGCCGGTCTTTCCACGCTTCCCCTGGGCTGCTGTGATCCAACAGGGCTGGATGGACCCAACGCCTGAGGAACGCCTGGCCTCGCCGCTCACTTCGCCTCAAGGCTATCAGACGGGCGTGTCTCGCTGGGCCCAGCCTTGAACTGGCCTTTTATCCAGTTGTGGCTGAGACAACGGATGGCCAAGGAGCAGTTCTTCCCAGGATCCCAAGCACTGGGCTGCCCCACGAGGAAGCCCTGCACTCCGCCCACAGAACGCTTTCCTGGGATTGCAGTGTAACGGTGTCCCCCTTATCAAGAGTAAATATGAGAACCAACAATGACTCTTGGACTTCCACCAGACCAGCGAGGAGGATGTTCCCACTGACTTCTGTAAAAGGGACTTCTGGTAAACTTTTGGCGTGTAACACCGGAGAAGGGCCTGTCCTGGCACATGAACCAGCTCCATCCATAACCCACGGCACCTCCAATGGCCCCTCCAGGGCCAGCAAGCCCTGAGCTATAGCGAAGCTCAAATACTTTAAGTGTTCTGACCAGTCTCACTAACCATACAAATTGTAAGCTCCCTCAATTTCTTTAAAAAAAATTTTATGGGGGAGGGTGAAGGCGGGGGGGGGGGGGCGGCAGGAGGGGGTCAATAGGGGGGAGGGGACATATGTAATACTTTCAACAATAACGAGTTATTTAAAAAAAAGAAATAGATGAGCCCTAATCGGTTTGGCTCAGTGGATAGAGCGTCGGCCTGCGGACTGAAAGGTCCCAGGTTCCATTCCGGCCAAGGGCATGTACCTTGGTTGCGGGCACATCCCCAGTAGGTGTGCAGGAGGCAGCTGATCCATGTTTCTTTCTCATCGATGTTTCTTACTCTCTATCCCTCTCCTTTCCTCTCTGTGAAAAATCAATAAAATATATTAAAAAAAGAGAAATAGATGAGATATATATGTGGTAAATAAATTAGAAGTAAATGCTAGTGAGAGGCAAGGGCATGGATATTGTTGTTAAAATAAATAATAATAATAAAAACTGGCCCTGCACCGGACTAGCTGCGTGCCCTTGGACAAATCACTTCCTCTCTCAGGGTCTCTACTTGCTTGTGGGTAAAACGGGGATAATCATGCCCGACAGTCCCAGGGTTGAAATGGGAATTGGTGAACACACTGCTATCTGAAGCCGGGGTCTCATTACTAAAGGACTCAATTCTTTCCCCAGATCCCGGACAGAGGACGCGGGGCCCCGCTTCTGAGGCTGGATGCTCACAGCCCCAGCCCTGTAGTCTGGGCCTCCGGGCACCAACGCGGGGCTGCAGCGGCCCCTGGGATCTCAGGGGCCCGAGCGCCCCTACCTGCTGTCCGTGTCCTCCTCCGGATATTTGTCCACCACATTGATGATGTCCAGCACCACCAGCCCCACGCACAGGATCTGCTTCTCTCCCATGAGGCCGCTCCCGCAGCTTTCCGCCCGCCGGGGTGCAGCGGTTCGTCCGGGGCTCGGGTTTTATGCCGTAGGATTGTATCCCCGCTGCCAGAGGCTGCCTGGCTCCTCCTCCGCGTCCCGAGCTCCGCCTCCAGGGAGCCTCCCGCAGCAGCGGGCGTGCAGCGTCCTGCAAAGAGCGCCGCAGGGCCCTTGCTCCCCCCGCCCACCGACCCAAGCGGTTCTGGGAGCGCCGACTCCGAGGTCTCGTCCCCGGCCTCGCTTTAGCAGGCGGCGTGGCCCTGCAGATGGCAACACCTCCCCCTTCTCGGCTTGAGGTCCTTCATTTGTCAGACGGACTCGGAGCTAATGCAGACCTCTCTGAAGTGCGGCTAGGCACGCTCAGGAGCAGGTGCCCATGCCCCGCCCTCTCCTGCACCCGCCGCTGCCGCTCCGCACGCTGGATCCGCGGGTTGGCGCCGGCCTCGCGGCTGCGGCCGGTCCGGCTAAGCCGAGGCGCTGCTGCACCCGGGCCCCGCCTCCGCCCTGGGCCGCCAGGTGCGCGGCGCTGGTCACGTGACGAGGAGTGGCGCTCAGCGCCCCCTGGCGGACACCGGCGAGACGGGCGGGACCGGGAGGAGGGTCCCGCTGGGGCTCGAAGCCGCAGACTCAGGTCACCGCCCACGCGTCCATCGCCGGTGCGGGCGGAGCTAACCCGCGCAGAGCCCTGTGCACGCCCATCTACCCCCGGACATACTGAAGCAGACGGTGTGTTTCGTTTTGTTCTGTTTTTTTATAAAAACCAAATGTCTTTATTCCTGAATAGTTTAGTATGGCGGTGGTGGCGGAGCGCCTCAGGAGCGCCCTGGAACCCGGGGGACCGGCTTAGAAGCCGCTGGGGGAGCTTCTAGGGTCCGGGACCCTCTCCTCCGCAGCCCGGGGCCTGCGGGGGACAGCGATCAGGCTCACAGTCTGGACGAGGGGACTCCGGAGACCCCCACCTGTCACGCTCCGTTTGCGAGGGGGGGGGAGCCTGGGGGGGGAGGCTGCTCTGGGCGCCTTTGCCGGTCGGGTCTGGAGACGGCGATGCACCTGGGGCTGGGGTGCCCGCCCCCCCAGATGGCTCTTTGGCGGCACAGACACTTCAGGCCGGTCGGCCCGGCCCCCTGCCTACGCCTGTTCCAGCTCCAGGTCCAGGTCCCCGTAGAGCAGGGCTCCGCTGAACATGGTGAGCGGCTCCTCCGAGTGCGCCAGCTGCCCCATGACCAGGTCGATGCAGACCGTGTCCCCCGCCTGCAGCGGCAGGATGAGGCTGAAGACGCCCAGGGCGCCGGGGCTGGGCTGGCTCTCGGCCACCGGCTTATTCTCCAGGCCCTCAGGCTCGTAGCCACCGGAGTCTATGCGCGCCACGCCCAGGTTGGAGCGGGACAGGACCGCCTCCACTTTTTCGTGCCGGTGCCCGGTCAGCACGGCGCTCAGCAAGTAGCGTCCAGCCAGCGGCGCTGTGAACACGCCTGGGGACGAGGATGGCAGTCAGGGGGAGGCAGGTGGCAGGGGCCCGCGGGCTTCGGGACCCAGAGCTCCTGGACTAGGGAGGGACCTGCTGGGTCTTTTCACCGCTCCCCCACAAGACTGTAAGCTCCACGAGCGAGCGAGCGAGCGAGCGCAGGAGATCCGGTGTTTTGTTCACTCCCGCACCCCCAGCACTCAAAACAGTGCCCCCCCCCCTTAAAAAGCTGGTGATCTAATGACTCCTCCCCTCCCCACCCCGGCAGTCAGCCAAGCTGTGGTGAAAATGGATAGATGAAGGGAGGACTGGGACTCTCCCAAATAGGAACAGGAAGAGATCCA